ATGATCGACGTGAGCTATAATAGCAAGCTGACAAAATGTCACAAACCTGATATTAACAGTGGCCCGCGGTCCATGAGCTAGACAATCATGCAAAACATACATTCCGTATCTTTTCCACGTCAACACAGCCTTCAATACTTCCACTCCCCACCACAGTCTCAGGAGTCTCCTCTAGTGCTTGTGCGGCCGCTGCACTATATGCCCGCAGTTGCAAGCGTGGCTCAACCTGCCGTGTTGCTGCCGGGGAGGGGTGAACGCCCAAAGCGGCGCGGCCAACATGACGCAGGGACAGCGAGCGAAGACACGGCCTCGCTACGCGGGGTAGCTTTCGCAGGACGGGAAGCATTGCAGGCAGCTTTTTGACCCTCAATGCACAAAAGGGCAAACTGTCCGGGAGTCACCGTAACTTTTGAACCGAAAAAACCGCGTCTGATTACCTAAGCGAAATCGGTGAATTAACGCTTACGTACACATTTAGGGATACCCGCTCCGAATGTCCCCTGGAGCAATGATATACCAGGATTCTATTAAAGCCCGCCAAAATTCAAGTTGCCTTTTCTCTCTGCAAGAGGAGTAAGTAAGGCATTATGGCAGCCGCGGCAATGGGCGGTGGTGGAGGTCATCCTTCAGATTTCACAGATCCAGACGCCGAAAACCCCGAAAACCTCGTAGCAAAATTCCAAATTCTTGCCGCAGAAGGGGATCTCCTTGCCCAACGTGGAGCATGGGGTCCAGCCATAGACGCCTATACCCGCGCACTCGCCATTCGCCCCACAGACAAGCATTGTCTCGTCTCCCGTTCCCGATGTCACATCAATGCTGGAAACGGAAGACCCGCACTGCTTGATGCCGAAGAAGCATTGAAACAAGATCCTGATTTCTTCAAAGGAATATATCAGAAAGCAGAAGCTTTGTATGCAATAGGTGATTTCGAAACGGCACTTGTGTTTTATCACCGAGGAAATAGGCTTCGACCAGAACTCGATGAGTTTCGAACAGGTATTCAAAAGGCGCGTGAGGCTATCGAAAATGGAATCGGGAACCCGAAGGAGACCAAAATTCAGGTACCCCAGAATCTGCGAAAGGCCCTTGCGGCAGCGGCAGCAGTAGAAGCGGAAGCAGCTGCAGATCCGTCAACGCGAAAGGCTGCTGCTGCTGCACGCGGCACTGAAGGGAGGGGAATTGCTTTTGTTCAGCAGCATCAACAGGAGCAAAAGTCCTCCCTCAGTCCTGCACTTGAAAATAAGCTCCTGGGCGAACTATACGAAGACAAAATGTACCTGGAGGAGCTGTTATCTGATAAGGACTTCACAGAGTGTCCTGATGAGCAAGTGATGAGTCTGGTTGCAGATGGGATCCGATATCTTCAGACGCGAATTGACTTTTGGAGGCAGCAGAATCCGCTTTATGCACGTCCTAAGGAGAAGCGGATCAAACCGAGGATGGAGAAAGGTGGACTCAAGCCTCGGATGCACACGGCGGAAAGGGAAGGTACCCCGAAGGAAGTACACGCGCGGGGGAAGGCTGGACCATTAGCGGGACAGGGACGCAAAAGTGAGAGCCGTGCAACAGCAACGCGGCAACAGGTGGCGGTGTAAAGACGTCCAGACTACCAATTGATGTGGTTAAAATGTATTTTGCAATGATACAGAGCATCTACCTCTATGTACAGCTTCAGCGCAGTATGTTCAACTGACGACCAAGTTCTTAACCGAAGAAAGCACAGCGCGGTAAAACCGCTTAAACTCCAAGGGATCTCCCTGGGAGAGAGATGGTCGCGTTAGTTCATAAGAGGTTGGCCAATGCGTTCAATGAACCGTCATGTCTCCTACCTTGCTTTTTCTGAATGCCACCAGCTGCAGATCAGTACCTAGACGTTGGATGCTGATCTCCCCATGCAACGGACATTTTCGTCTGTCGACGGTAGTGAAGACGATCTGTAGGAATTGTTTATATCTTCATCCCGTCCCTTATACACTACTGGTCCACATACCTTGCGTGAAACTGGATGTATTTTATGTGGGACCAGGAAATTCTGCAGGGTTTTGTTAAGCATTTTGCTTATGGTATCCCGATCCGCGCTACTATAGAAACGAGTAATCCGGTCCGAAGGGAAGAGATCCAGGAAGCCGCCGGACTCGAGTTGAGTCTGTAGCAAACACAACGTGAGCATCAAGCATGAGGAGGGGTGATGGAGGGTAGCCGGTAATCCTGGCAGCAAATTTCCACTCACGTTTTGCGTATGTGTCTCGCTTTCCATCCTTTGGGGTTGCGAGAAGGAAATAAAGCCCGATCGGTCATCAAACACACTGCTTCCATTGGAGTAAGCATCAGGGCGCATGTCAGAGGGCTGTGAATAGGATATTCTGCTCATATAAAAAGGAATGTCACCGCAAGGCTGATCACGAAGGCGTTCCAGGCCACTCACATTTGCGATGCTTCCATCATTTCGTTTGCACTTGACAGCATAGTTGACATCATGCGCTCTGCTAGTCTTGCTGGATCATTACATTTCCCTGTAAGTTAAGCCCCAATGTAAGTCGTTGGAGAACAAATGACGGGAATATGTGCGACGCGAACCATCGGTCAGCAATGTATTTGGTCTGGAAAAAGAAATTGGTTCTATTAGGCTCGTGCTCACAGGCAGCAGTAATTCACTCTTTTACGTACCTCTTGACCCAGGGATTTTCTTTTATGTCTTCGATGCTATATCGAGATATTGCATCCACATGCAAGATTCCCATCAAAAGACCTGATTCAAGGAATCGGCCGATTAGGACGTGCATATACAGACACCGCCGCAGGCGCCATTACTTACTAAGCGTATCCTTCGAGAAGCCGGTCCAAGGCGCGTACGGCAGCCCTTGGGCATAATTACGAAGGAAAAACATAAACTCATCGTCATGCTTTGTTGGTTCGGCCCAGGGAGTATCTAGAGAATACCGAGATTAACACTGCGGATGATGTGCATCACCAAAAACAAGTCCGAACCCACTTCCTGCAAGCAAAACGTAAAGTATGATGCCCACTGCCCATATGTCTACCGCATCACCATGATAGCTCATTGCATGGATCTTGAAATATTGCACTATCAGATCATGTAGCGTAGCGATCTACAGGTAAAATCCTACCTCCGGAGCCTGTTATGGAGCTCAAAGTTAGTATTGGCATATAGGTGTCGTGTCAGATCCTGAGGAGAATACTAACAACGTATGGTGGAGTGCCGCAAGGAGTTGTGAGAATTCGTCGCGTTCCTTTGTGCTTGAATACTGTCGCCAGACCAAAATCGCTAATCTTCAGGTTACCATACTGGTCTAGCAGAATATTCTGCAGCTCCTATTAGTTCTCATGGGAAATGGTCGTGTCAAAGGGCAAATCGTACCTCTGGCTTGAGATCTCGGTGAGATATGCCGCGCCCATGCAAGTACTCCTAGTTCCCTCCATTAGCGTTTCCACAGCGCTGCTGCTAAACTCACAATCAGGATCACGTACCACACCCGCAAGAAGCTGAATAAAGTACATATGAGCGAGTTCTTCTTCCACGCCCACATCTGGTTCTACGACAAAAGGTGATTTGGCATATGGTTGCTGCATGGACCGCCGCCGCATACACAAACCTCAATCCTACCAATTCGGTCAAACAGCTCCCCAGCAGCTGCATATTCCATTACAATATAAACACAAGCATCGTCTTCCGCAGCGTTCAAGAGCGTGATAATGTTCTCATGACGGACAGCACTGTGAATCTTGATCTCTTTCTGCAAAATGGCGAGATCTCGAGCTCCTTCCTGCCCCGAACGTTTTTTGATTATCTTTACTGCAACAGCTTGTCGTGAGGCAGGGTCAATGGCCAGTTTTACTCTGGGCAGGTTGGAAATGTGTCAGCATTGCTGAATCTCTAACCAATTCGACGGCAGCGCGCATGCGACATAATCTGCCCAATTGAATGCAACAATGTCGTTTACATACTTTCCGTGTGCACCCTCGCCAATTGTCTCGCCCAGCTCATATCCCAAAATAGTCCTAGGCTGAGAAGCGCGCAGCATTCTGCCAACCATGCATCTGTGAGAATCAGGCTCGCGTCGTCAACAGAAACGCGCGTCTGCGCTATGCAGCACTGTGTTGCGTCTTTGACTTTGAAAAAGATTCAGAAGGCCAATGCTGTCATGCAACTTCCGGCGGTAATACACCGCAGCATGGTGGAGAATTGTTTCATGGAGGTGGTTCTTGTACCATTAGGTTGCAGGTACCAAATGGCGGGAATGGTTATTCTTCCGCCAGCGTTTGTACTCTCCGGTACAAGAGCCCTGAAGCTCAGTCACAATGTACAGTACTTTCTCTGGAGATGGACGGATGCGCAGAGACGGGTGACAACGCGATGCATCCGCACTGAATGCTCAAACTTACGTTGTAGATTACGATAGTTGAAACAAGAATGCGGGCCTCAAATAGCCAATATCTCATTCACGTCCTCCAATCCGAAGGAACTTACCCTGCGGGCTGTGAACTTTTTTGAACCTACAGAGAGAATTGCGAACAACTACTTACCTTATTTTCGCACGTCCTCCAATCCGAAGAAACTTACCCTGCGGGCTGTGAACTTTTTTGAACCTACAGAGAGAATTGCGAATAACTAATTACCTTATTTTCGCACTGGAGACCATACCTTCCTGCAGGTTGAAGATGATGAGGAAGAGGGGACAGGGCGTCCTTTATATAAGCTCGTGAGTTGGGGAAATCCCATGTGGATGTCGTTCATGGACAGAAGCCCTGGCATCGTGTCGATCCTCCTATCGAAGCAAGTTCTATTGAGATACCCCTGATGAACTTGCACGCGCGCAAGGGGTGGTGGAGGAACAGGGGACACGGCGGCGTCCTTAATGTAAGCTGGTGAGTAAAGGAATATCCCATGGATGTCGTTCATGGACAAGTCCTGGCATCGTCAAACCTTCCATCGACGTAATATTCTATTGAGATGCCCCTGACGGACTTACACGCGTGCAAGGGGTGGACAATAAGTAAAAGGAGCTGCGCACGACACGCAGCGTTTCTAACAAGCGTCTTCATCTTCCAAGAACTTGTACCGATTTGCCCAGCCGCCAACTACAGCGGCGCCATCGTCGGCATGAGCTTGGTCAAAACCCATTTCAGTCTCCAAAGCTTCTACGATTCTCTCACTGGCAATTTTAGCGCCTGCCAGGTTCAGGGCATTGGGCCCCAGCTGAAGCGCAGCATAACCGCCCATTACGTACAAGGGAATGGATGATTGCCAGCGTAGATCTATAAATGCGAATACGAAGGTGAATTCCCAAGATCGAAGTATATGAATGCAACAGTGGAAGGTACCATGCGTTAGAACAGGAAATCCCTCAATTAATGTGGTCGGGACGGCTTTGCATATCTGCGAGAGCAGCGGGTCTTGCGTGACATTCATTTTGCTGCCCATATAGCAATTAGGCGACAGGTCATCTGCACAGACGAGCAGAGGGACCTCACCTTCCAGTAGCCATCCATATGGCATGAACATTCTCAATACTACCATCACTCAAATGAACTTCCCAAAATCCCTTGGCTGTCTCCGCAGAATCGCAAGCACAGTGGGTGTCGGTCCTCCATATCGCGCTTATTATCTCAGTATACTGCTTCGTTTCGAGTGATCCAGCCGCTTTGGCGGATTCTATGTATTCCCACATTGATGGAGTCATGCTGCCTCCTTCCCGGGCATTTTGTATGATCTTCAGTCGAACTGACAAAATGCATTAGTTGGGCAAAGTTTGGCAGCACGTTTGTCGTGTACACACTTCTGGGATCGTTTTCCTGCCAAAATTTGGCCATCTCCACATTTCCGTATCGATCGATCCAATTCAACGAAACATCAAAATGCTTCACACGTAGAAACGACCGGCTTACCAGTAAAACCTGAAGGGTGTCAGAGTTTTTTGAAGTCCGTCGCAGTAACAAGTATTTGCACCAACCTGGTCGAACCGCTTGACGCCATGCTTCACTAGGTGGGCTGCTGTGAGACCTCCTCCCACTATCATCAATCTCCCTTTTGATGCCTCACGAAGGGTCGGCAGCAACTGAGTTTGCTCTTTGGAGCAACATCCTTCGCAGTTGAGAACACCGCTCTTAACCAACTCGGCCGAATGCATCAGACATTCTTTAGGCCACTTTACAGTATTACAACCATCACATGGTGGAACCCAGTCAGGAAGCCGCAAGCAATTTCCGTTTCCAATGGCACAGACTACCCGAGATGCGTGGATTTTCTTGCAATGTCCATTGTGTAGAAGATCAATCTCGAATCCTTTGCAGATATTGCAAGAGCTGTCGAACATAGGCTTGATACAATGAACACTCCCTTGCTGGATAACATCATTTAAATGGTGCTTCTCAACAAGGTGCGCACAAAAATCGATGAAGAGTGACGAGGTCGGGACGTGCAGGGTTGTATTTTGCGAATGATTGAAAGCAGAGTTCATACGCCGAGATCTGATCCATGGCTGTTAATAGTGCATATGTGACCAAAAACTACGTTTGGGCGGTCATACTTGGCTTGCCTGTGCACAGCTTTTTGCACAAAGTCGTCGATTTCTTTAATTTCGTCGAGCCGTCCCTGCATCATTGCAAAATCACGGAGCGAGCTGGCGTGGGACCTGCAGAAGGAAGCAAATTGTTATAATCTGTTATGGTTGCTGTCCCAACTACTGATGGCATACTCACGCATCCGGGTGTATATTGACAAGACTCCTTAGCCACGGGATGTCGTACCCGGCAAAAAGCTTTTTCCAACGGCTCAGCCATTCACCTCCTTCGTCGACTACCAAGTACTTTCGTTTGCGTGCTTCATCAACCATGCCACACCCTTTCTGATGCTTGACATGACGCAGAAGGCGGTCCTGTTCCTCATCGTTGAATAAAGTAACCGGATATTTGGTGAGCAACCGTACCAGGAGCGTGAGGGCGTGAGGCCCAGCTCCTACTATCAGCAACTCGTAGGGATTCTCTGAGTGCCCAAGAGGAAATTGGCTTTCAGGCATGGCGATTGATCCTGTTTGCACGTATAAGCTGTTGAAGCGATTGAAAGCGATATGGAAGTCGATGGGGCTGTAACCCGGGAGGTACTCATTCTCACCCTCGCGGTAGATCACGTGCCTTGAAGTGGTGCGGGTAACACGACGCGTCGTTTGTCGATGGTCGTCCTCTCCCGTCCCGATCGTTCGCATTCCTTGCTTGCCTTCGGTGTGAGTGTAGGTTCCGTCTCAAATACAGGTATATGCACTGGGACCATGCTAGGAGAGTAGGATTGCCATCCCAACAGGTGTTAACCCCGGCATACTGATCAGATCCCCATGGCCAAGTCATCGCCCACCCAAGCCTCCCCCGCGTCCCCTGCTGGTGCAGTAAGCGCCTCGGCTCAATCCGTTGCTGCATCTGCATCAAATGCTGCGGCACAGCAAGCTTTTCTCGTCCGACGGCTTGTTACTTCATACCAAAAGAACACCCCACAGTCTTTGAAACTGATCGATACGTACCTTGTGTTTGTGATGTTGACGGGGATTATCCAGTTCGTATATGTTCTGCTTGCGGGAACATATCCCTATAACAGTTTTCTGGCGGGATTTGGGGCGAGTGTTGGAAGTTTCGTGTTGGCGGGTACGTTTTTTTTTGGACGCTGGAACGGAATTGGTCATCTCACGAGTTACATTGCAATCAGCCAACTTGCGAATGCAAGTAAACCCAGAGAACAAGGAATTCAAAGACACGTCGACGGAAAGGTAGTGATACGCGTACAAAGCAACTTAGTGTTAGCAGATTCTAACCTGTTTGTGAATGTTCCTCTTATCCAAAGAGCCTTTGCAGACTTTGCCTTTGCCAGCCTTGTGCTATTTGGATTTGTAGTGAACTTTTTAGGATAAATACGATGCATAGTTCCTTACTCATTCCACGTTTTCGACATGAATATTCCCCTTTGGTCTCAGTGCACGGCATATGAAACAACTTTATTGATCATGAATGCGATAAATAAAGAAAAGTATAAATAAACATAAGAGAAAGATAAGATAAATGTCACAATGCCCTGTCAATCATTCCATCTTTCGCTCTGTCGTCCTCATCCACAGGACGAATTCGCCACATGAGTCCGGTTGTAGCCCCGTCATAGGTCGCATCCGGGTCAAAATTACATTGATCTTGGCGACTGGTGGGTTCCTCGCCAAGACAAAAATGGGCGCTAGAAAACCCTAGTGCGGCAGCTCGCTTCGCGAAATCCTCTTGCAGAGCGTATTCATCAACAGTCTCCGTTAACTTGTTGCCGCCCGTTTGTCCAGGAAAGACTGGTCCAACTGAGATGATCCGTTCACGGTGTTTTAGTGTACCGCCAAACCTTGAGACGCCTAGCACAGATGTGGCGGAAGCAGACTGTACCCTATACCACTTCACGGCACCATAGTCAGCGTCTATTTTGCCGTTTTTGCTAGGCGTAAAGGGGAGCCAATCCGTTCGATTTTGGTTGTAAACAGCAATATCTGGAACATCTCCAATCCAGACCTCCAGCAAGTCATATCTTTGCTCCAGAAGCTGTACAGCAGCACTAATTATAGGGGCCTTCACAGTTCTTTCGGTACGATTTACCACTTCTGGTCGAAGGGGATTCAGCCAACCCACTCTCGTTTCATAGTCATCCACCAAACTCAAAATGTACGGAGCTGTACAGGCTTCAAATAGGAGGTCCACTGCCTGAGCTTTGGATGTCGTATCGTTGAGGAATCGCAGAGTTTCGAAGGGAAACTCATCCATGAGACGCTTATCGTAGGTTGAGCGGGGAAGAATAAGGACAGCCTCAAAACTAAGGGACGGTTCGTATGTGCGCAGATGATGGAAGATGCTAGAGATAGATTTGCGGAGCTTTGACAGATTCGGATCCAGATACGCAAAGGCGAGACAGACCTGTGGTTGTTTCGCCTAAAAACATAGGTTGGTGAGTCATAATGTTGTGCCCAATCATCCATACTTGACATACCTTCTGGTAGCCCAAAAATGGTCTCGCTACTGCGGATGGTGGTTCCCAACCCTTCCACCATCCAGCGGTAATTCGCTTCATCAATTGTTCTTTTACGAATGGTACCATGAACAAAATTCCAGTGTCTTTCTTCTCATTGAAATAAACTTCGCGAACCGGGAGGTATTCCATGGCTGGGTTTCCATTTGCCACAGCTTTGTCATGATTGCCAAGCACCGATCGGAATTGATAGTGGTACATAACTATGTCTTTGAAATTCGTCTGCATGAGACGTTCTTCCCGATTTTCGGATGCGGGGATCTCAACCAGCCAACCATGAATTTTATTCGAGGTTACGATCTTTGGATCCACCAGGGCTTTCCGGGTCCAGTCAAAGCCTTTAATATCTGATCTGTCGAACTGGCGATTTAAATCATTATCGAACCGATATTCATAACGTTCGGTCACCTAACCAATACTCATATAAGAAGTCATTCACGATTTTATGGAGAATGTCGTCTTACCAAAGTGAAAGGAAGTCCATCGGAGGGAGGAGTCGGATCAGAAAAATAACCGTTTGTTGCAAAAATCCGTCCATTCAACCAAATCTGATCCCACCACTCCAGCTTAGTAAGGACATTCTTCAAGGTGTGATCACCAAGTACATCTCCCTGTTTTTTCCTTTAGCTGCGAGCCCACTATCCAGTTTTGCAAATGGTATGCTTACCTCAGTGTCCTCTTGCGGTATAAACACAAACTCGTCAACGTCCCAAGCTCCGACCCATCTCGAACGATTGCGATACCTTGCGGCCGCGTCAATAAATGCGACAGCCTGACAGCCTGCTTGAAGATGACTAGTGCTATAGAACACAAGCGTCAGATATCAACGTGTTCATCATGAACAAGCTACGCATAACATACCGTGCTGGATTATGCTTAATGCAATCGTTCTCCAATTGATCATAGAATTCTCGCTTAGCCCATTCAACAGGCCATTGTCTCGCACCAAGTACTTTCTCAATATTATGTGCATCTTGAGGCCACTCGATCCATTCAATGATTCCACTCTGGATATAGGGCTCCGCTACCTGTCTCGACAGGTCTTTTGTTTTTTTTCTTGAATCATGGTATATCACGAATCTCTCGACGCCTTGTAAGAGGTGAAATTCTATCCATTCCGGTAGATAATGCGCCTGATTTGCTATCATTGTTGCGACGACAATGTACGGCTCCGGAGTGTCTTCCTTTGTTATCAGAATCGGATGTGTGAACTCATCGTTCACCTCTTCAGAGTCGCCGGAATGAAAAGGCAACAGATGCGAGCCCTTTTGAAGCCATTCCGGTGTGAGTTCACTGACTCGTCGCCGTACGGAAGGGGAAAATGTCACAAATGTCAGTAGGAGGACCGTCACTGTCAGGAATGCTGGAAAACAGCCATAAAACAGGGTACGGGAGTGCGGTGCCGTGCGCTTCAAGCGACGGGAAACACCGCCCAGGAGCATCTTGCCAGCTCGCTTGGCTGATTGAGCGACAAGGGACGAAATGTCATTTGCAAAAAGTTGCTGAAAATAGCTGCCGTGGCCAGATTTTGAAGTCCCCGATTTACTGCGCGAGTGTCGTGACTGTGGCTTACAAAGAAGGTTTTTGGCTTCTTTGCAGGAGACGACAGTTTTTTGTTTTTGGCGGTAGAACGACCAAATGTCCGCCTCCGACATTCGATTCATGGAGATGGCCATTAGCCAGGCACAGCGATCGGAACCAGTTCCGAGTGCGTACTGCGTAGGAGCTGTTCTGGTCAAGGATAACAAAGTACTGGCTACTGGCTATTCCCGCGAACTGCCTGGCAATACACACGCAGAAGAATGTTGCTTGCTCAAATTGAGCAACATGGCAGTGGCAGAAGGAGCAACCATATACACTACTATGGAACCTTGTGGGGAACGCCTGTCCGGAAACACCCCATGTGCTCACCGACTTGTCGATGCAAAGGTAGCACGGGTTGTCATGGGGGTCAAAGAACCTCCCAGCTTCATCGCAGAATGTCAGGGAAGTGCGCTGTTGAGAGATAACGGGATTACCGTTGACTACTTGGCCGGATTCGAGGGTATGTTGAGAAGCGTACAGGAATCCTTTAGGTCGTCGCTTGATACTTTGTGCTTTCCATGTACCAGAGGCGTGCTTGGCGCCAAACAAGCATGTCATCTAGCTAACGAAGGATATGAAGTGGTGTATCTCTCCATTCCGACCCTTGCTGGCTTCCTTATACATTAAACTGTTGAGTAAATAGTCTGTACATAGAGCTCTGATCGAGCTAGATCCGTTATTCTTACAAGCAGAAAGGTAAAAGCGAGCTACTGTCTCTAAGTCTCCATAGCAATACTATCGGCAGAAGCACCTCGATCCACATCCATACTTTCGCCAAAGGCGTTGAACATAAACTGTTGTTGGTACTCCTTGAGATCTATAGAGAACAGTTGCGATCAATCTCTAGCATCCTCGATTAGTAGAGATCTCGGCGCAGTATCTTACATTGTACAGATCGCTTCTCATCAAGAAACAACGAATACACGCGCTTGATATCCTCCACATCAACTTCAGTTGCCTAAGAGAGAATCGATGGGTAAACATGGCCTCAGAAGCAGTCGCAATAAAGCCGAGAGTCGTGATACCTTCCGTTTTCGCGCTACCAAAGACGCTGCTGTAATCAAATGGATGGAATACCGAAGGCTTGTCTCAATGCCAATTTTGGTCAAAATGTCCTTTGCCTCTTCGGTCATTTCAACATCTTCTTCTTCACACCGAATACTTAGAATCTGCTTAATTTCCTTTTCCGTATACGGAGATGTGCTGATAATCAAAAGGCGATCGAGAAGATCGATCGGGAGACCATGAGGGGAGGTGTACTTGGTTCCTCGGATCTTTGTGATTCCCCTATTCGATGCCATAATCACTACGGGGGACATGTCGTCCTCCATAGCTCGATTGAGGAACGAAAAGCACTCAATATCCAGCATGTGAACTTCATCAATAAACAAGACCTGCAGGCAGTGTCAATATGTGATAATGCACGACTTCCAACGGGCCCTTTCTCACCCCGGGTACTATGTCAGCTTTGCCCTCCTCTCGCCACTCTGCCACCTTGGAGTTGATTTGATCCCTCACTTCTGTTTTTATCTCACCAGTGTCACCTAAAAATCGCGATCAGAGACGTCATCCTGATGCCCCTTTCTTTGAGGTGGTGATTTGACCACTTACCTGAGAATAGCGCTAAAAAGCCCTGAGTCCGACTATTGATTACATCGATCTCGTGCAGGGTTACTGTATGTACCATTTCCTTTCGTTTTTGCAGTTCTCCCTCGGGACATTGCACAAATCGTGTCTATGAAGGCACTACCTTAGGATGTTGTAGAAGTGAATAAACAGAACAAGCATAATTACATCTGAACCCATCGCATCATAATCTTTCGCTCTCGAAAATGATCTCCCAAGCTTGGTAATTTTGCCACTGGCTTTGTCGATCGTAATAACGTCCCTTTGATGCGTAGTTTTCCCGTAAGAGTTTGATCTACGAGGGAAGTCAAGGGCCATAGGTCGATTGAGACTTACCCAGCCGTCACTTTCTCCTTGTTGAGAGCCTCGATCATCTTTTGTCCAAGATCGTAGATTGTTTCCATGTCAGTTGTTTTCAACGTCAATTTCCCGGTCTTTGCTCCCTGCTTTTTGTTTTAGTCATTGCGTACAAAAGAATACGTCTCAATTGTTATATACGTACTGCACCAGTAGCAGATCGGTCCACCTGAATCTCAACCACCTCTCCTTCAATTAACTCCGTCTCTTCCTTTATCCGAACACCAATAGACTTGCGGAAAGCCTGAGTCAGCGCTTCCGTTTTGGACATTTCCAAGGAGAATATTTCGGATGCGGCGAGCATAGTAAAAGGGACATCAGTTCCCAGCGCTTGTGCCATGCCTTGTGAGAGGGGTAGTACATTCAGGACACATAAAACCAGGAATGTCAGACAAACTGACAGAGCGGCCTACCCATGGCGATCGCTGTCTTGCCAGTTCCAGGTGCGCCAGCAATTAAGATGGCACGGCCCGCAATTTTTCCCTCTTTAATCATCTCTAGAATAACACCCGCGGCCTTTCGTGCCTGCAGTTGCCCAACCATTCCCTGTGATGTTGTCCGAGCCTCCAGAGCATCATCCAACCCAAGACCACGAATGTGAGAGTGCGCACCTACAGAGAACGTTAGACACTCAATAGCTGTGTTATATGATATCGACTGCTGTACATGCCTATGCGCTCCATTCTTGTCAATTCTTTTACATCCTGCAACCCCGACCCTGGCACCGTCGTTGAAATGGTTGTCGCCTAACACGCCGGGACAAGTTCGTCAGCCGCGTCTGCGCCAAACATCACGCCAATGCGAGTATAGTACACACCATGTTTGAAGAGAGCCCTATATAATTGTGCTTTCAGGAGTTTTGAGAATGGGGCGTTTGCGAACGAACAATAAAAGGATGTTCTGTGTCTATAACGAGGTTGGCAGGTGGAAGGTGAGATCGTCGTCGAGAGAACGAAACCTTGACACACGCGCAGCTCGCGTTAGATTTCCTGTTGCTAGGACAACAAGCAACTGACTCATGAGAACCAAGCTCATTGGGATTCGCCTCGTCTAAACTCGTTGAATAGTTTCCACAAATGTCAACAACGACGACAGCTCCCGCACTTCTTCCCTTGGGTAGGTTATCCACGCGTTACGAGTTTGGTTTGCAGCATCTGGTGGGGTGCACAGAGTGACAAGTACTTACCCTTGCTACAACTCGCAGAACTTGTCGATCGCTGTATCGGTTCACGGATATGGGTTGTTATGAAGAGTGAAAAGGAGTTTGCAGGCACTCTGCTAGGCTTTGATGACTTTGTCAGTAAGTGCACTTTGAAATTGGTTTTTTTGCCGAGAGGGTGTTTGCTATACAAGTGACTTGCTCACACTTGTATTTCCTACAGATATGGTATTGGAAGACGTGACCGAATAGTACGTGTGTATGCGGCAAAAGCGGCCTGGATATATGGGGTGCTTATCACGAAAGAAAGAATGTGCTAACTCTCGTCGTGTAGTGAGAACACACCAGAAGGCCGTAAAGTCACAAAGCTTGATCAAATATTATTGAACGGCAACAACATTTGCATGGTATGCAGTGGGTTCATCTTTGCATCTTCTGTTTAGATCCTCGCATCTCACCTCTTGAATATCAACAGTTTATACCAGGGGGCGAGTAAGTGTAAATGGCTAATGGCCTACCAGGATGCGTTTATGCTTCCCATCAACACTTTCACCACAAACCCTTACCTGTGCATTTCGCTCCTTCCTCCTACAGACCTCCTTCGGATTGAAATTCCCTTGTAATCTTGTAGAACAGATCCTTGTGTAAATAATAGTTTGCCCAAACTTTGTCGGATTTGGCAGGAAATCGACTTGTGTCACGTGCCAGTTGTAGTCATGATGAAGGTCTGTGCACACAGTTTCGACTTGATTCTCGCAGGAAACGGGGGGAGGAGCAACTGGCAAGGCAGGTCATCTCCATATTACACAACCGAGCCTTGACGTCTCCAGCAGCACGCAGTCTTTTGGTGGACTTACTCTTGGCAAGAGTCATACGGCACTGTCGTTTCTTTGGGGCGCATGATCGGCGTCGTTTCACACATCCGCTAGATCCGGCTCCTTTAACTGCCATCGTCTTTCCCACTCTATCCAACTCCACTTTCGGACACCGCCTTACAAATGTCCTCGCTAGCTGCTATGAAAAAGACCAAAAGTATTGCCTCTGTGGTCGCCGCGAAGAAACGACGGAGAAAGCCCGCGGCAGGTGCGTCCAATGCTTCAGGGAAGACATCGAGTAGCTCAACGACGGCGTTGAAGAAAGTGGAAAGGTGAGTGATGACATTCAAGGGCAAACTTGACAACCGCACGGTGATGTCCAAGTCGGTGCCGAATCACGCACGCGGCATTCACCGCTGCTGTTGTCAATTATTCGACAAATGAGTGTAGTAATCTCGGATACTCTCCTGCCCACCGTAGCAAGTCTCGCGTCCCCCCAGAGGAGCTCAACTCATCGGATGAGTCAGAATTTAGCGAGGAGGAGGAAGATGCTGAAGATTATTGCAAAGGTTGGATCCTCGATCAATGTCTGCGTGTTCGTTGGACCTAATGCCTCGGCATTTAGGCGGTTATCATCCAGTGAATATAGGGGATGTGTTCAACGAAGGGCGGTATACGGTACTTCGCAAGCTAGGCTGGGGACATTTCTCAACAGTTTGGCTGGCGCGAGATCACAAGTAATTGTTCCTTTCGTGCACTAAAGTCTCTTAAAATCAGAACTTAATATCGCTGTTGTGATCAGATTTAACCGACCGGTAGCACTGAAGATTGTGAAATCGGCTCCTCACTATACTGAGACGGCGTTGGATGAGATAAAGCTGCTGGACAAAGTTGTGTCAGCGAATCGCGATAATCCTGAGCGAAGATGTGTGGTGGAACTTTATGATTGGTTCAAACACAGAGGACCACATGGGACCCGTATGTTGTCTGGTGCATTTTGCTTTGGCGGTTATTCCTATGTTAACTTCTGTGTTTCTCGGACTAGATGTCTGCATGGCTTTCGAAGTATTGGGGCCGAATCTTCTGACATTAATCAGGCAGTATCACCATCGCGGTATTCCTGTACCTATTGTGCAGCGAATAACAAAGCAAGTCCTAATGGGGCTGGACTACCTTCATCGTGAATGCGCGATTATACATACCGACCTCAAACCTGAGGTACTTTCTTTATCTGTTAACATTTACTAGCATTCTGCTGATAGAACATATCGCCCCTGGATAGAATGTCCTTATCTGTATCAATGTTGACGAAACCATGAAAAAACTGGGGGTTGATGTCAGCAATACCCCATCCAGCATGGACTTGGACTCGCCAACCCCGTCGCCCAGAGAAGGCACGCCAATGAGCCCTGCGTCCACCCCTACTCTTACTCGGGCACAACGAAAAAAGGCCAAATACAAGCTCAAGAAACAGCAAGCGAAGAAGCAGACGCAGGGGGGTTTCGAAACTGGCGCGACTGACGAGGCGGGAGATGTTGTACAGAAAGAAGGCACGGACGCTGAAAGTGTCGCGATGAAAAGTGACTCGCAGAACACTGCACCACCCTCGTCTATTGCAAATGGGAAACTAGCGGATGCCGTGAACCAGGAGGGCAGTCTCCGCGAACGCTCCACGTACGTGTATAATGGTCATTGTCGCAGCCCCCCTTTTCTCGTCGCTCATTGTTGTGCATTCTCTCCTTTTGGATGTCAGGGACGCGCTTGGTCGAAATCTTAGCGATATCAGTTTAGCGGAATCATACGAAGCGAAAGCGGCGGCAAAAGATCTGAAAGAGCGCGAGGGCGAAGGTTTGTAATTTCTGTAGTGGTAGCAAGTGCAATGGCGTTATATTAAACCAGCACGAACAGGAGAATTCAACCACAAAGTTCAAGCGGAAGCGAGAATGCAGGAAGAAGGGCCAAAAAAGCATGCGCAGGACGAAGATTCAGATGCGGACCGAAAACGACGACGGGAGGAAAGAAGAGAACGACGACGTAAACAGGATGAGAGAATAAAGGTCTGGTGCAATTAGCAGCACAGAGAATCCAACGTTGTCAATGCTGACGGTTTAATAAACGATACAGGTCAAGATTGCGGATCTAGGCAACGCATGCTGGGTAGATCATCACTTCACCAATGATATTCAAACCCGACAATACCGGTCGCCAGAGGCTATACTGGGGGCCAATTACGACCGGAGTGCTGATATATGGAGTGTCGGTTGTATGGTGGGTGATCTTACATATGCACATCATTATAGATCAGAGAGTGTGACGTTCGATTTTTCAGGTTTTTGAGCTATTGACGGGGGACTATCTATTCGATCCACAAGCTGGTTCGAGATACACTAAAGATGATGGTAGGTGGTTGGGCAGACACTCAGTAAAAAAACTGTGGATATTGTTATTGAACGGTCCTTGCGTCACGCGTTAGACCACGTCGCTCAGATTATTGAGCTCCTGGGTGATTTCCCCAAATCTCTAGCTTTGAGCGGCAAGTACAGCAGTGAGCTATTCAACCGAAAAGGTGCACTCGTCAGTCGTTCTTATATACATCGGCAACGAAATCTAAATAACATCCACAACAGGTC